ATTTGGGAAGCCTGCCCAAAACATGACGACCCCCCCCCCCCCCCCCCTTGCAGAAATTTTCCAATGGACTGGAAAGCCGATATTTTCATCAGTAGAGTTCGGGAAGCATCTGCGGTAAATTTTAAAATGGTGGCATCCAACTGTGTTGCACGCACGCTGGCTGTGTGGCTAGGTCCGCTCTGGTTCCACCTAGAACAAGGCACCCCAGCAGAGGAGACTGCCAAATCACTTCCGGTGCTGGAGAAAGCGGTAGCCTACATAGCAAACGCATCGACTGAGACCATTAAATAACGGGCAGGTCGATCAGCCTTATTAATTCAGCAAGAAGGGAAATTTGGCTAAAGTCTTGGCAGGGAGGCACAGCATCCAAGTCCAGACTGTGTGGCCTGCCCTTTGAAAGAAAACTCCTCTTTGGTTCAGAATTTACCTTCGTGCTCGAAAGATTGGCCGATAAGAAAAAGGGATTTCCTATCCCCAACAGGCAAACAAGAAGGAAGTTTTTTAGTCCCTACAGGCAGCAGACAGCGAGAGACGAGAAACCCCAAGGCCAAAAGAAAAACTGGCTTGGCAAGAGACAAAGGAGGGTTCCTATTCAACCCCAACCAAGACAAACCCAAAAGGGAAACCAAATTACTGCCAGGGCCAGGTGGGAGGAAGCCTAGGTAACTTCCACACGCAATGGCTACACACCACTTTGAACGCATTTATACTGGACATAATCAAGAATGGTTACAGTATAGCGTTCTCACCTTCCCCATCGCAGGTTCTTTGTGACACCCCCCCCCCCCTTTACCGAAGTAAAAGGCAGAAGCACTAGTAAACCTTCTGGAGGAGATGCTCCAACAGAAGCTGATAAGCCTGCCGTGAGAAGAAGAGAAGAGAGCAGGATTACACTTCCATTTTTTCCTGAGTAGGAAACCATGAGGGAAATACCGAATGATCCTGAACCTGAAAAAAGTGAACGAATACGTCAAGCTCAAAAAGTTCTGGATGGAAATTATGTATACAGTCAAAGAAATACTCTACCCGGGCGTGTTCATGGCATCCATAAATTTTAAAAGATGCTTACCTTCCTATCCCAATAAGAAAAACCTCAAGGAAGTTTTGAGGTTTGCGCTAAAAGGACCCGAGGAGACCCTCTTGTTTCAATTCAACACCCTTCCCTTCAGCCTATCTTCAAGCCTAATTATGTTCACAAAGGTCTTGGCGGAGGCACTGCAAACTGTGAGACTGAAGGGGATAAACATCATCCCCTACTTAGATGATCTCCTCCTATTAGCAGACACGAAGGAAGTATTAGAAAGTCAGGTAGCGGATACAATATCTTTCTTGACGAGCCCAGATGGCTAATCAACTTAGAAAAATCCCAATTAGTACCTTCCAACAGAATTACAAATTTGGGGTACATCCTGGATTCAACGAACTCACAGCTATACCTGAAAAAAGAGAAAAAATTCTCAAACTGCAAGACACAGGAAGTTTCATTGAAGCATCAGACTGTACAATCAGGAACGCGATGAAGCTGATCTACAGGATGACTGCAGCCATACCAGGGGTGCAGTGGGCACAATTTGCACTTGAGAGTAATATAAAACCATGTGCTCTCCCTCTGAGATGGCTGCCAAACCTCTCTGGACTCCAGGATTCTGCTAACACAGAAAGTGAAAGCATCACTGCCATGGTGGAACAACACACGGACCCTGGATTAGGGAAGGAAATGGAAACGGGTCAATCCTCTGAAGATCACAACGGATGGGAGTGGCTGGGGAGCTCATACAGAAGAGCGCCTGGCCCAAGGTAAATGGGATCCAGAGACAGCAAGAAGTTCCTTAAACTTCAGAGAACTGATTGGTGGTCATCAAGTGCTTCAAGGAAAAGGTAAAGGGAAAAGTTCAAGTCCTGTCGGACAGCATAACCGTTGCCTACCTAAACAGGCAAGGGGGTACAAGATCACGAAGCCTAATACAGCCTAATACAGCTAGCTGGGACCCTGTTGGCTTGGGCGGAAGAAAACTTAGTCAATTACGGCGATTCATCTGAAGGGGCTCCTGAACTTGCTGGCAGACCAGCTAGGTCGAGAGGAAATCAACCAGTCTAAGTGGGGCCTCAGCCAGGAGATATTCGACTGGATTTGTGACAGATGGGGCATTCCATCAATAGACCTCTTCGCCAACAAAAAGAATGCGAAATTAGACATACTTCTGCCTACAAAGAGACTCCAAAGAGAGGGCACAGACGCACTGGCCCAGTATTGGAAGGGGGATCTCCTCTAGGCCTTCCCACCCTTCAAGCTGCTACCCAGAGTCTTACAGAACATACAGTTGTCTCACACCAAGGTCATCCTAATAGCCCCCTTCTGGCCGAAGAGGTCATGGTTTTCCCTAGCGAAGAAACGAAGTATGACAGACCCCTGGATAATACCACCCAGAGCAAAATCATCCTTTTAGTAGCGGTAGTCTTGGCACGCAGAGTCACCGAATTACAGGCGCTATCAGTAGTGGAACCATACTGCATGATTATCTTGATTAAGATTATTCTAAATACAGACCCTACGTTACTGCTTAAAAAGGAAGGAAGACGTTGTGATACCATCCTTCTGCTGGAACCCTAACCGCACCAAAGAGGAGTGCTACAACAAGATTGACGTAAGAAGGTGCCCAATCACGTATATCGAACCTACAAAGGAGTAGAGGAACTGGAGCTGCCTTTTTATCCTGTTCCAAGGTCCAAGGAAGGGTTTCCAAGCCTCTAAAAGTACCATAGCAAGATGGCTAAAGGAAGACATCTCAGAAGGATGTAAAACTGCAGGCCTGACCCCACCACCAGGTCTCTAGGCACACTCAACAAGAGCGACGACAGCCTCATGGTTGTAAAAAGCTGGAGCCTCCCCTGGACAGATCTGCAAGGCAGCAACATAGTCCAACTTCAGTACGTTCGCCAGGCACTACCGGTTTGACCCTAGAACAAGCATTTGGCAGGAAGGTCTTACAAGCAACAGTCCCACCCTAATGTATGTATTTCTATTAATCCTCTCATGTAAGCTGTCCTGGAAGATTACTTGAGAAAATGCAGTTATTACCTATTAACTGCATTTCCAGGAATCTGACAGGACAGCGTAGTTCCCGCCCGATTCATGAAGTGTTAGGAGTGGTCATGTTGTCATGGGAAAGACCATCTCTATATGTGTATACATAAATGCTGTTGCAACTGTTATACTCATCTCTCCTAGACCTTCGGTTATATTCCTATACTGAGGACCCAGAGATGGAGATGACGCTTATAGTGGAAAAAGTGGATCAGGTGTTTCCTGGTGGGAGGAGGAACCTCTATCATGTAAGCTGTCCTGGAAGATTCCTGGAAATACAGTTAACAGGTAATGACTGCGTTTTTGTCCCAGCTAATAGCGTTTAGGAGCATTTGCGTTTAGTGTTTTTACAGTGCATGGAAAAAAAAAGCTTTTAGGAGTGTTCAGCATTTTTTTTTTCTTTTTTTCTGCTGCAAAATGCTCCAAATAACTCTACAAAAGCAATTTTTTTTTTTCTGCCCCTAGATGCTGAAGCTCAAAATACGCTAATAGCCTAAAGTAGTGTGCATGGACACATAGAATAACACTACCTTCTAGGAGCAGAAAAATATGCTAATAGCTTCAAGGAGCTTAAAAAAACGCTTGTTTATCGGAGTTATGTAGCGCCATCAGTTTGTGCAGCGCTTTACAAAATGAATGTAGACATAAGTTACAATACAATTTGGTACAAGAGGAAACAGAGGGCCCTGCTCGTTGGCGCTTACAATCAAGGAGGAAGGCTGAGTGATACAAAAGGTAATAGCTGTGGGGGATAGGCTTCTTTAACTACCTCCCGCCCGCCATAGAAGGAAATGACGGGACAAGGCAGTTCTCTCGTTATGGGAGGACATCATATGACGTCCTCCCACTCTAACCGCGCGTGCACGTCCCCGAGGGCGCGCAGTGCGGCGATAGGTGGTGCATTGTGTGCCTGGGGCACAGCGGATCACCAATCAACGGAAAGCGCTGAAGATGTCAGCTCTGTCATGTGATCAGCTGTGTCCAATCACAGCTGATCGCATGTAAATAAGGAAATGTCGGTTATCGGCATTTCTCTCCTCATGAGCTGTCACACGGACAGAGGAGAGCTGGTAATCGGCATTCCTCAGAGGGGACATGTACACTGATCATCAGGGCACTGATCAGTGTAGCCCCTGCAGTGCCACATCAATGCCACATGTCAGTGTCCATCTGTGCTGCCTGTCAGTGCCCATCACTGCAGCCTCATTGGCTCACATCAGTGAAGGAGAAAAATCACTTATTTACAAAATTTTATAACAAACTAAGAACTTTTTTTTTTCAAAATTTTCAGTTGCTTTTTGGTTTAGCAAAAAATAAAAAACCCAGAGGTGATTAAATACCACCAAAAGAAAGCTCTATCTGTCTGAAAAAAGATTACAATTTCATATGGATACAGTGTTGCATGACTGCGCAATTGTCTTTCGAAGTGTGACAGCGCTGAAAGCTGAAAATTTGCCTGGGCAGGAAGGGGGTATAAGTGCCCAGTAGGCAAGTGGTTAAAGAGCGGTTTTCAGGGATTGTCTAAAGGTGGATAGATTAGGAGATAGACAGATTGGGGTAGGGAGTTCCATAGGATGGGAGAAGCTCGGGAGAAGTCCTGGAGGTGAGCATGGGAGGAGGTGACATGGGAACTAGAGAGCAGAAGGTCTTGGGAAGATCCAAGAGAGCGGTTTGGTAGATATTTTGAGACCAGGCTAGCGATGTGGATAGAGTTGTGAATGGCTTTGTACGTTGTTATTTTGAATTTTATTCATTGTGTGAGTAGAAGCAGTCTGTGCTCATCTCCTGTAGTGTGTCCGCAGTCTCTGGTCATCTCCTGTAGTGTGTCCGCAGTCTCTGGTCATCCCCTGTAGTGTGTCCGCAGTCTCTGGTCATCCCCTGTAGTGTGTCCGCAGTCTCTGGTCATCCCCTGTAGTGTGTCCGCAGTCTCTGGTCATCCCCTGTAGTGTGTCCGCAGTCTCTGGTCATCCCCTGTAGTGTGTCCGCAGTCTCTGGTCATCCGCAGTCCTGTAGTGTGTCCGCAGTCTCTGGTCACCCCCTGTACTGTGTCCGCAGTCTCTGGTCACCCCCTGTACTGTGTCCGCAGTCTCTGGTCACCCCCTGTACTGTGTCCGCAGTCTCTCTGGTCATCACCCCCTGTAGTGTCCGCAGTCTCTGGCTGTACTGTGTCCGCAGTCTCTGGTCATCCCCTGTAGTGTGTCCGCAGTCTCTGGTCATCCCCTGTAGTGTGTCCGCAGCACCCCCTGTAGTGTGTCCGCAGTCTCTGGTCACCCCCTGTAGTGTGTCCGCAGTCTCTGGTCATCCCCTGTAGTGTGTGTCCGCAGTCTCTGGGTCACCCCCTGTAGTGTGTCCGCAGTCTCTGGTCACCCCCTGTAGTGTGTCCGCAGTCTCTGGTCACCCCCTGTACTGTGTCCGCAGTCTCTGGTCACCCCCTGTAGTGTGTCCCCTGGTATCCCCTGTAGTGTGTCCGCAGTCTCTGGTCATCCCCTGTAGTGTGTGTCCGCAGTCTCTGGTCATCCCCTGTAGTGTGTCCGCAGTCTCTGGTCATCCCCTGTAGTGTGTCCGCAGTCTCTGGTCATCCCCTGTAGTGTGTCCGCAGTCTCAGTCCATTTTGGTTCAGAATATTTTTTTTTTTTTTTTTTCCTCCTCTAAAACCTAGGTGCGTCTTATGGTCAGGTGTGTCTTATGGAGCGAAAAATACGGTAGTTTCTAGGAGCAAAAAAAAAAAAAATTTTAACATCTTTTAGGAGCTTAAAAAAACGCTAGTATGCATGGAGCCTAAAACCTGGAGACATAGATTGATGGGTGAGTTTGCTTTGAATATAAAAAAATTAATTGAATAGTGTTTTTTGGTTTGTTGTGCTCAGATGCAGTGTAGTTCCACTTTAAAGGATAAGATTACCATATAACAAAAAATAAATGCACATTTTTTTTATTTGTTTGCAGGTAAAAAAATGTGCATTTAGTATTGTTTTGGGAGCCTGTAAAGAATTGCACCAGTAATCGGCAGATGGCTTGTGCCACAGACCTGTAAGTGTTATCTGCTTGTACATCGTATGGGAAGGCAGATACACATTGACAGGAAGAATCAATGAACCATCACAGCACTCAACTGAGCCATAATAGCTCATTGAGAAATGCAAGCAAACGGCTGCAGAGGCTGTTGGAACTGCGAATGAGTGATGCTGCCAGGTTTTTTAAAAATTGTGACAGATCCCCTGCTGTCTGTCACGATGGGGGACTGTCCTTTTTCGTTACGTGTTACACCTTGAATATGGCTATTACGTGTAACATGTTATGAAAGGTGAACTTCTCCTTTAACTTTTGAAATGGACCACCAGGTTGGGGTAAGTTTATATATGTACTATGTTTAAAAAGATATAGAAGAGAGAAAAGGGTCACACAACGGAAACTCAGGGAAACACACTGGTTTTCTTTCTGAACTTTCTGAATCCAGGCAGATTAAATCCTAATTTAATCCATGTATCTGTAAAAAAAAAAAAAAAAAAAAATGCTTGCTATGTTTTCACATTAAACTAGCATAGGCTCCTGCATCTGACTTTAAAAGCATGTTCTATCTAAAATATAATTGCACCCGCATTAATAATAATAATAATAATAATAATAATAATAAAAAAAAAAAGTGCCGATCTTAATGCTGGACTACACTGCACCTGAACACCGCAAACCAAAAAATGCTGTTTATTTTTACTATTCAAAGAAATCTCACCCATCCACCCATGTCTACATGCTTTATTTTGCTGAGAAACCACTTGAATCTTGAGTAAGGGCAGATGATTTATGTAGCATTTACTTCCTGGGATCCATCTGCCCTTAGCTGAGGCATGCAGGCAGGAGGGTGTGCTAAGGTGGCAGACCCCTCCTACTCTTGAAGACTTCTTGGGATGTATGACATTTGTTAAGCATGGAAACCAGGAATAAAACTGAAGAAATTAAGAAAAAAAAAAGTTTATAACAAGTAATTATGATCTGCTTTCCTCTCTATCCTATTTACAAATGCTAGGAGCATAAGAATTAAAAAATCCATGTTGATTGAGAGAGTGAAGTTACACTTTTAAGTGCTTTTCATTTTGATAATATTTTGGTATATTCATTTAGGTTGTTTTTGTTACAAAAGATATACCACTCACTGCTTGTGACGAGTATATGAACATCTTGTCATAGATTTCCTAATCAGCAGGAAAAGTACACTTGTAAACATGTCTAAGAGGAAAACCCTGCCAGGAAATATTATGAACTTTTTATACACATGTGCTATTGGCAGCATTCTCTTTTCTAAGCCCCATGTACACTAGCGTGTGTGCTTTAAATACTGGCATTTCTGGGCACCTGGGCATAGATGCAGCATCCAGCCCCATAGCCAGCACCCTGTCAAAATCTATGACAAGTCAATATACGTTGCAGGAGGACACTGTTGTACTCTGTGCATTGGGCCATATGCATTTAGGATTTTAGTTATACACACCAGGCATTTATTAGTGGCTCTGTTGGTACAATGAAATGGCAGAAAACTGCAATAAAGACTACTACTGCTGGCTATAGATTGATTGCATTTCGGCTGGTTCAGCAAGGACTGGCAAACTTTTGATCCATCTATGGCCGTCCCCACGCAAAAGAAGTCCTTTTTTAACAAAAGACAGGAATGTTTGAAAATTTTCATTGGATCAGCAGCTGCAGTGCTGACCAGTGTATTTTGACAATGGAGGATTCCTGCTTTCAGAATACAGTAGCACAGCAGGGAGCATTCCTCCATCCACTTCACTTGTGTGGATGAGGGAATCTGTTTGTTTTTGATGCTTTGATGTTTTGCTGGCTAATTGATAAAAATTACCCATATCTGGGCATCCTTAATGGGATTTGGCGTGGGGGGGTTGTTCTTTTAAGAGACTCTAACTTTGCCCTGAATGGTCAAGAGTAATCCGTGATAGTCAAGAGTAATACAAGGGTTTCAACACCCTGCAGGCGTCTTTGCAAAAATGTAATACTTGGATTCTCTTAGCTTGTTATAGTCAGTGTTTATTTTTAAAGTGAACTTGTGAAGGTGCAGATATTGGAGCTGGCTTTTCTAACTTGCTTTGCATAGGTGCAGCAAGTTAAGTCTGAAAAGTATTGAATTGGGTCCATAATCTGCATTTTCAAGGGATCCGGATTTGTAATGTGTACTTATTTAAAGTGTTTAGCCACATTAGTCCACCTATCTGCTTTAATATCTTGTAGATGGTCTTGTAATCTATCAGTCTTTTTGTTATGTCTTGTATTGTAGTTAACGGTTTGATCTTGTGTGTTTTTCTTGTGGATTTGGGGACTATATCATGGGCATGTCCCAAATGGTTACACCATGAACATCTGGTTCCTCCATATCTATTAACACCTGAATTTTTGACCAATCACTGCCATCCATCTTAGGCTTGGTGATCATGCTCCCCGATGTTAGGTGTTTTGTAAGACACAATCTTTAAGGTGATTACTGAGGCCATCTGACGTTGGCCATGTGTGTACAGTTTCTTCTCAGCCTAATATATTGGCCCCTCAGAATTGCTTTATTAGTGTGTGGCGAATGGCAGCTATGTGTATCTACCAAACCTTTTGGCTATAAGTTTCTTTAAAGTCCTAAAAGAAATCTTTTAACCAAATCTCCTTGGATCACCAGATCTAGATATTGGTGGTATATGGGGGGTGTTTACCTTTTTAAAATGTATATTTAAGTAATTTATGTTTAAATAATCCAAACTTTTCTGGCCATTCAGATCTGCATCCACTATAACTACAAGTCCCATGAGGCATGGCAAGGCTCACAGTCACAAGCATGACTCCCAAAGCCTATAGCGTGATGGAACTTGTAGTTATGCAACAGCTGGAGGGCCACAGGTTGGGCACCCATTCACTATAAAGTTGTGGTCATTTTGTGTGTAGTATAGCTTGATGTACTGAATGGATTTTCCTCTCTCGAGACATAGTGCTGTTCTCACCAACCCCTAAACAGGTTGGCTTATGTGGGCATCAATTTGGTCCCCTTCAAAGCGCTGTGTTTCTGAAGAGAGAACACTCCATCGAATTGAAAGTAATTGTGTCAATATCAAGTGGGTGTAACGGAACCGGAACCCAGACCGCACTGAGTTTTTTCCGTTATAGCACAACTTCCCCTGTCCGAACACCATCCACGGACCACACCCTTGAAATCCCTCAGGAAAAAGACAGCACCCAACTCTTCTTAATACAGGAAGCCAACTCTTTATTTTAACACAAAACACAGAATATATACAGAGGGCGGGGAAACACAACCAGGAACAGGAAATACATCATCAGCCCGCCCTATCAGTGGGAAGGGCTACAGGGAACCACCCCAACCAACCCAAGACACAGAACAATGGGATGCAGCCATGCGGCAAAGGACATTGACCAACCCCCACACCAATACACAAACAGTACATCCCATAATAGTTTGCTGGACAGGAAGGCACAGCACCATGGGGGGGAGCACATGGTAAACAAACAATGGACAGCCATGTGGCCTAGACAAAGGACAACACACAAATGCACAATACTGGGACATTCACATGTACACCCTGTACCCTTAAACAGGCACAGGGTGGGTTAAACATAATGATTTGGGGAGATGATACAGGGGTCCCCCCACCCCCAAAAGTCGCTCTCGTCACAGTGGGTTCCCTCAATAACATTTTGCAGATCCTGTGTACCTCAACACTACTTTTCAACATGGTATTTCAACACTCTTAAGGCCTAAATCATGGGGAATCAAAGAAACTGGCGGCTGTGTTTTTATATGTTCTTCTGTAATCATCCTTTTACTTTTAATCAATTTGTTATGATAGGTTGACATTAACTTGGTTATGATATTCATATATGTATTTTTTTTATGAATGTTGTGTGAAATGTTTTAAGATTACCACAAGTGAATAAGAACCCTTCTTTTGGATTCGACACAATGTAGCATTCTAAATAGGTCTGTAACAATTTTTGGTAACAATGGGGGGGGGGGGGGGGGAAGATCCAGTAATGCTGCTGCACAATTTTTTTTTATATGCTCTTGCTAATGTGTTGCGCTTAATTTAAAAAAATTTACAGCAGTTTTTTGGTTTTAATGGCTTGCAACTCATGCATCAAACTTGGGTAGTTAAACTTGGTTCAACTTTTACACTATGGCCCAACAAATCCAAAATAAAATATTGACAGTTCATATCTTACAAAAGAGGAGTTAATGAAGTCTAACTGTCTTTTGGCATACAGAGACTTTTGCAAGTGTGTTTTTGAATTTGTTCAAGCATTCACCAAATACAAGTTGTAGACAGGTACATGAATTAGGCGCATGCTGTTACTTTTAGAATGCATGTGATATACTTTTTCTAAGTCTGTCTGTACCAGTCTGAGTTCCAGGGAATGAGTTTTTGGGAGGAGTATGTGTTAGACACTTGCATTGGTGCACGTTTAGTAGGAGCGAGCTGTCCATCCAGCATGTTCATTTGTTTTTAGTGGTCACAGCTGG